CTTAAAGGCAGCGATTACGATAAGGGCGCATCGGGGAAGCATATGCACCACACGAATCAGTTACTTGGCTGCCAGGGAAGCGAGATGTGGCGCTTTCACGACGAAAGGTGCGCTGGTTGCTGAGCAGGACTTCGAAAGCGCTCCGCCCCAAAAGCGATCCGCCCACTAGTTTACTTGTTGATTTGGACGAGCTGCGTGGCCAGCAGCGGCGCAAATGGAGCATCTCGATTAAAGCGTGTTTGGCATGGTGCCATCAAACGCGTTGCGGTGAACTCGTTCATACGTCCACTTTCTGAGCTGTTACCTGTTCATGAGTGAAAACCAACGGCCAAAAAGGGGTCCCGTTTTGCGTTTCTTGACGGATTTTTCTGCTTTTTTTCGCTTCTGGCGTACCATTTAGCACCACCGCGTCACACTAAACCCTTCTTGAATTATCGTAATCGCTGCCTTCAAGGTACCTATCTATCACTGCTATACTCTATGAAAGTGAAAGCTGGAAATGAGCTCATTCACAAAACAGTAGTTTGCAGTTCAAGCGATTGCTACCTGCTCAAAGAACACGCACCCAGCCGGATTCCTGGTCGTCCACGGACTGTTATGGTATTGTAGTATTCTTCTGAGGATGACATTCCCCTTCCTTTACACTCGGGAGGGAATCGATTTATAGGCGTACAAGTTCTTAAGTTTGTGGAATCGGAAAAGCGCGACCACAATGTAGTAAGTTAGGGAGTAAGGAGCAAGAAGCGAGTAGGTAAATATTCATCCTGCCGCCACTGAGGGTGAATGGGAGTAATATGAAAAACAAATATTCTGTTTCTTATTAGCCAACGTCACGATGCCGCAACAGCCACCTGCAGCAGCTCCACGCAATGTGGCTGCCTCGGCCCGTTCAGCGAACAGTATCATCGTGCAGTGGCAACAACCGCAAGAAGAGCTGTGGAGCGGAGACATTCTGGGATACATAGTACGGTAAGTAGGTCTTACTTGGAGAATACAAATTCTAGTGGTTGGATGCGAAAACAAGTAATATACTGAAAAAGAATAGTTCCTCCCAGATGGTTAGATCCAATTGATCCTCAGTCCAGAGCCCTTCCCATCATCTCTGTATCAAAATATTTAGTTGTCTTTGATGTATTGTCATATGCAACCATGTTTTGCTCAATGTTGTATAACACAAGGAGGCACCAAAATTTCATTCCGAGAAATTCCGAAAGTTCACAAAAATTCCAAGTGATCAAAAAATTTCCGGAAATTCTAGAAAATCCAAGAAAAAAATCGGAAAGAAATTCTTTGAAATTCTTTTCGAAGTTTTTTGTTTTTTAGAATTTTCGGAATTTTTTCGATTACTTGGAATTTTTGCAAACTTTTTCTTTGTAATCGGGTGGTTTCGCTACTTTTTGTGTTTACAAAATTTTAGGTTCTTATGAGGTACGGACAGCCACATACTGAAGGAACTGGTGTTGGCTGTGTGTTGTCCCATGTGCGCGGATGGAAAGGCTTGCGATGGCTTTCTTGTAGAGCCTGTTTCTTCGTGCCTGATTAGGGTCAAAATTTCCGGCCTAGTAGACCCTGTTTCATTTTGCAGTCGCAAACCGCTATTCGTGGGTATCGATGAATAGGATATATGTCCTGGGTTGGCTTAAGGCTGTGCGCTTAATCTCTCATTTCGAAATGAATTCAAAGGCACAGACCGCAATGGAAATGGTGCGTTGTATTCGAAAATTAGGCGTGAAGTGCGAAGGGGAACATGAGTGGGGAAAAAAAGCAGTAGCACCATAGAAAACATTTCAAATTTTTCTTGTGAGGGTGATCGTGGTAAGATGGAGAGACAAAACGCTGCGAAAAGAGGGGAACGCGAGCGTGCGCAAACATCACGTTGCCTCGATTGTAAGCATGACGACCAGTCGCATCGGTGGAGGCATTAGCTTCGATGCGCACCTTCGAAAGTTGCGAAAGGTACCACAGAGATCTTCTCTGAGATCAATGGGCGCGACCCTTGCCTTTTTCTCTCTGAAGTGGTTATGGGGTGTGGGTACTTAGGACAGAACGCGACTTTTTCGCTCTTCGCAACGCGACATCGCGCGGCAGGCTGGCGCACCCGTAGCGAAAACAACTACGGTATGGAAGAACGCGCGATTGGAGCAGCTTTTTTGCATGCGCGTGAATTTGTAAGTTTCTGATTCCTTACTTGCCCGCGCTCACACCCATTGTATTGATAAATGCGGTGAATCACTAATTCTGTCTCATTATTGAAAACGTTTTGTGACTTACACGATTCCGGGCGATGCCACACAAATGGTGTTTTACGAATTATCGGTGAACGAGGGTTTAATAGTGTCGCTTGTGCTTGCATTTTGTGGGTTCATATTGTTGTATAGACATCTGCATAAGGGTATAACATCTTTTACGGAACGCTTCTGTCCTCATTACGGATATGATACTCATTTTTGACGCTGGCGCCATTTGGGGCCGGGTGGCGCCACAACTGATTCCCACTAAATTCGCTGTAAACTTCTGTATAGGGGTTATTCGGGGTCCTGATTTGTTGTTAGCGCTATTCGGCGCCTGCTTCCTGCTCGTCTGCGCCCTCGCACTAATTAGATCGCAATAGGACTAAGCCTTTGAGTAGTGTAGGGCTCCAAAGTGGGTAGGCCATTCCACTGTGGTCTGATTATTGGAGCGACCGTCTTCTCGCCACCCGCGAGCCGTCTGTGTCTCCGTGCGTACGTTCACTCTCGGCATTACTCTCGTCGTCGCGTTGGACTTTGTCCAACGGACGGTTGACCCTGCTCCAAAGTGGGTAGGCCATTCCCCTGTGGTGTGACACACTCCAACTTTTGCCACACGGTGCGTGGTTTACCCACTCCGGAGTTTCACTCCCCTCCCCTAAGCTTAGTCGTAGGCGCTGTAGGTGAGAAAGCTTAGAAAAGCAGAAAGTATGCGTTAAACAGCACGAATGTGAAAAATGAGTGTCATATTCATGATCAGGGCCCCAAATAACCCCTATGCAGAAGTTTACAGTCGTCTCATCAAACGTCCATCAACCATTCCTCTTCCAGGTTCTCCAGAAGCTCTACCATCCATCTCTGCAAAAATAACCTACCTCCCTCTTCACTGCTAGTTAGCGGTCCACTTCTGGTTACCATTTCCTCGTTCATTATCAAATCCATGGCTATTAAGCTTCAAACTCCTTGTCGCAATCAAAGCCGACACAAATATCGCGCTCCAATCGCGCGTTCTTCCTATACCGTAGTTGTTTTCGCTGCGGGTGCGCCAGCCTGCCGCGCGATGTCGCGTTGCGAAGAGCGAAAAAGTCGCGTTCTGTCCTAAGTACCCACACCCGTGGTAATCGGTCCAGCTGTTCTGTTGCCGAAAACTGATTGTGGTGAAACTGGAGCGAAGTAGTAAAAGGACTCTGCTCTCCACTTACACATCGTATCAGACATTTTAAAACATATAGTATTATGTCACATGTCAGGTGTATCGACTTGCTGGTTACACTCTTCCCATGGATTGAAAAGAACGTCACCACCAAAGATGCACGGAACACAGTAAGTGGCTGAAAGTAATTTTTCAGTTTACTAGAGCAATTCATTTTCTTGTCCGTACTTTCTGTATTTCTTAAATGTATCACTTAATTATGCTCTTCTAATGCGAAGTTGAGCAGCTGTTGAAATGCACATGTTTGGAAAGGCTCAGGTTACGGCTACATGGGACAGCAGGTTGCAAATTACGACGGCTAACCGCTGCTATAATAGGGATTTCTAGTAAGGGTTAGATTTGCTACAGTATGCCACAAAATATTCTCTTTGTAACGAACACAGCGAAACAAAGTCCCATAGAGTGCTGATAAGGGGCGATTTGAATTTCAAATCCACAGTGAGCAGGGTAAGCAGTCAATCAAGTACTCAGACAGCGCCACGACAGATCCGACCACCTGCCTTGTTCAACGTCGGCAGAGTATGTTAATCAAGATTTGGCTGCGTAGGACCATTATAGAGTTATTTGGTAACTAAAACGTATTCGATAAATGAAACAAAAACAAACGGAGCGTGATAGCCGTAATCCGAATGTGGCACGCGAGCTCCCATTTGGCCCAGGAGACTGCAGACCCTATTTGGTCTGCGTGGTGGCAGGCGCTGACGCTGAGAATTTTTTTTAAAAGAACGGTGACCTAATAGTTCTCTCCACTGTATAATTTCTGAAATTTCCTATTAAATACAAGAAACGAGAAACGAGCATTCATGAATTCATTGAATGCATCAATCACATGAATTTCAATGGTGTAGATTGTCGCCAAGCCTAATATTTGCTATCTAGGCCATTGACCAGCTGATTACATGGCGGGAATACGAGATCCAGGTTGCGGCGTACAATCACAGAGGATTGGGTGTCTTCAGCAAGAGTATCGATGTGACAACTGCTGAAGGAGGTACTTTTATACATTAAAGGCTCAGGGTTTCAGCAATATTATTTTATTATCGCTCAGCAAATCTATATGAGCTGACTTGGGTGCAAAAAATTCCCGGGATTAGTGGGAATCTGACCATCTTTTGTCCACTTGAAATAGAACTATGTGGTTCGGATTAAGGTTCTCGCAAGTCGAGCCTTTTTTCAGCATTCCCATTCTGTGAACGTTTCTTGAGCGATACTTTCGCACTCGGTGGAGGGAAAGTTTCCGCTCGAGGGCGAGTGTGGCGTCAGTGGTTATTTCCAACCGTATTTGGGATTGGCTATGGCCGTTACACATTACAGTACTGACAGCTCGGGATGGAGAAAACCCCTGAGTTCTCCTGTCAAAGTTTCTTTTTTCCAGTTCCAACCCAAGCTCCAAAGAATGTCATCGCAAATGTGCTCAACTCGACAGCGGTTGAGATCACCTTTACGGCTCCGGACCAACAGCGAATTCCCGGAGTTAACCTTGGATACAAGGTAGCGCTGAGGTTTAGCAGAGATGGCTGTTCCAGCCGAGCAATGGGTTTTCTAGAAATTACGTTTCAGGTGGAATTTTGGAAAGGTACGCCTCAACATAGCAATCTCTATCGTCAAGTGCTAGTTGATCCAACTTC